CAGATTACTCGTGAGGAGCGTCAGGGAGGAGAGCGATCAGGTGTCAGCCGCCAGGCTCTGGCGCGCTGTAGTAGGTGTAGGGAGACTGGCCATAATTCACGTACATGTAAGAAAGATACTCTAGATAGTAATTAATCTACTATCTTAATATCTATCAAGATTATCTATAACGTCAAGGATCAGCAAGCTGGCCAGATCAGCAAGCTGGCCACCCCACCAAACCTGACCTGACTCTCTACACAATCACCATAATGCCGCGACAACAACGCTCTGTACAGACTTCTCGTGAAGGTAGAATAAGTCTTGCTGTAGCCTCTTATCGTAATAATCCAAAACAATCTCTTCGCGCTCTTGCAATGGCTTTTGATATACCAAGATCTACACTACAGACGCGCCTCTATGGTACCCAGCCGCGATCAGAGATTCGGCCTGCTAACTGTAAGCTATCGCCTATTGAAGAGCAGTCTCTCGTGCAGTGGATCCTAGACTTTGACCGACGTGGTTTTCTGCCCCATGTCATTGACGTACGACGAATGGCAGACGCGTTACTCGCCGCGCGTGGCCAAGATCCACCTCCACAACCTGTTGGCAAGAAATGGGTATCACGCTTTATCCAAGGCCAGCCAGACCTTCAGACAAAGTGGACTAGACGATTGCATAGCCAGCGCGCCCAGTATGAAGATCCTACCGTAATCGCGGCGTGGTTTAAGCTAGTAGAGGAGACGCGCCAGACGTACGGCGTCTTAGACCAGGATATCTACAACTTTGACGAGACTGGATTTGCTATGGGCGTCGCTGCAACGTCAAAAGTCGTGACTAGCTCTGACAGAGTTGGTCGGGCAGTCGTCGTACAGCCAGGCAATTGCGAGTGGGTAACAGTAATCGAGTGCGTTAACGCGTCTGGCTGGTCTCTTCCACCATTTGTGATCCTCTCTGGTAAGGTCCACCAGAGCAGCTGGTACCGCGACCTCCCACTAGATTGGACTATCGGCGTCTCATACAATGGCTGGACGACCGATCAGCTTGGTGTAGAGTGGGTGAAGCATTTCAACCAGTATACAGCTGCTCGTACAGCTGGAGTCTATCGGCTTCTTATTCTAGACGGCCATAGCAGCCACGCCACGCCAGAGTTCGACCAGTACTGTACAGAGAACAAGATAATCACTCTCTGTATGCCGCCCCACACGTCGCACCTCCTCCAGCCACTTGATGTGAGCTGCTATTCCCCTCTTAAGCGCGCGTACGGACGCGAGGTTGAGAAACTCGCCCGCCATGGGGTCTACCATATTGATAAGATAGACTTCCTTACAGCCTACACGCGGATTCGGCCGACAGTTTTCACGCAGCAGAATATCCAGGCAGGCTTTCAGGCGACAGGCCTTGTCCCTCCTTGTCCAGATCGCGTCCTATCGTCGCTAACTGTCGTCCGGACGCCGTCTCCACCACAGACAACTACAGATAATAACGTTGCAGCGCAGGCAGCAGCGCAGACAGAGACACCACATACAGTAGCAGAGCTTCAGCAGCAAGTACGCTATCTCCAAGAGCGACTGCGCCGGCAGCCAGAGAGTCCAACTAGCGTTGCGATACGCCAGCTCGCTAAAAGCGCTCAGCTTGCAATGCAATCAGCGACAATACTTGCAGAGGAGAATAAGAAGCTACGTGCAGAAGTTCAGCGTCAACGACAAAAGCAGAGTCAGCCGCGTCAATATATCGCTTCTGGTGGGGTGCTCCGGGTGCAGCAAGCTCAGCAGCTTGGTGATGGAGGCTAGCCAGAGCCAGGCCGGCGAGCGACGTCAGCGCGCGCCGCCGACGTGCACGAAGTGTCACGTTCAAGGACATACTCGGACTTCATGCAGAGCTAGATAATTAATTATATCTCTTGATATCAACTTATTTTATCGCGTTGTTGTAGAGCAATTGCGCAGAGAGTCGCGCCAGGTTAGGTGGGGTGGGCCACTTACTGGTGTGGGCCGCTTACTGGTGGAGCACCGTTACTTGAGCCTAGCTATATAGCTCATGGTATATATACTGAGCTGCTCGGTTTCTATACTGAGCAGTGATCCAATACAAAGATCACCTGAGCCAGGTTTCCAACTCCTTTTTTCCTCCACAATAATTACTTGTAAGCCCAGAAGTACCATGTATAGTCACGTGGTTACCCACTGACTAATAATACTGTATTTAAAATTGCTCTTAGCATCATGTACTACACAATACACAATACTTCTTACACCCTCGACTGCTTACATTACTATTGTACGTGGTGCTGCAGCCTTAGTTTTGGTGGAGCTGTTTTTGGTGGTTCGGCGCATTGCGCGCACGGGCACAATAACGTGTTGGATATACCGGGCATGGCCAGTGCGTGCCCATGGTCAGCCAAAGCCCACCCCCACCAAAAGTAGCACAGTAATCCATTCTTTTCAAAACCATATAACTCCACCACCATGGATCCGATTTCAAAAGCAGTTGCAGTAATCGATTCGCAAGGTCTAGAAGGACAAATCTCATATAGTGCAGCTGCTAAATAATTTGGTGTTGACCGTAGAGCAGTGGCGCGGAGACACCAAAACAAAACTCAGTCGCGTGACGACGCGACACACCAACGCCAACTACTCAGCCTACCACAAGAATCCGAGCTTGTAAAATATATACAAAACTTAACTAAACGTGCTCTACCACCTACTGGATCTATGATAAAGAACTACGTGTCAGTTATTGCAGAGTGGGAGCCTTCGGACAGCTGGATTTCCCGATTTCTTCGTCGACACCGCGATCATCTCACCACCAAATTCGTGACTGGAATTAATCAGGAGCGTCACCAAGCTGATAATACTGATAGTTACCGATCATATTTCGATCTCCTACGCGCCAAGGTCGCTCAGTACAACGTGGAGCCGCACAATATCTATAATATGGACGAAAAGGGGTTCCTTCTTGGGGTGGTAGAAAGATCTAAAAGAGTGTTTTCAAAACAACTTTGGGCCCAAAAGAAAGTTACAGCAGCCTTGCAAGATGGTTGTAGAGAGTGGATAACAGTTTTGGCTTGTATTTGTGCTGATGGGAGCTGGATTGACCCAATGATTGTCTTTGAAGGAAATGCCGGTCTTCGCGAGCGATGGATACAGCACTTAGACGTGGACAAACACCAGCTTTTTTGCTCTACAACTGAGTCTGGCTGGAGTAACAATGAGCTGGCAAAGGCTTGGGTCGAACAGGTGTTTGACCGGAAGACAAAGGAGAAAGCAAAACGAGACTACAGACTTCTTCTGCTCGACGGCCATGGAAGTCACGTTACTCCATCCTTCATCGACTACTGCAACTCTCATCGAATCCTGATTGCAATCTTTTCCCCCCATGCGACTCACAGCCTTCAGCCACTCGACGTGGTGTTGTATTCTCCATTGTCGACAGCTTACTCGAACGAACTGTCCGAGTTCCTCCGCCGCTGTCAGGGGTTGCTGCGTGTGCAAAAAAGTGACTTTATAAGCTTATTTTGGGCGGCATATACATCGACTTTCACATTTGAGAATATTATAAGTAGCTTTGCGGCTACTGGAGTTCATCCACTCGATCCGGACGTTGTGCTCCAACGCTTCAAAAGCTCAACACCACCACGGGACACGGATACAGAAGTTGGAGAGCATGGAGATGGGGATACTCGGAGACAGCTGTCCAATTTATACGACGCTGCTGTCACGGATAAGTCAAAAGTTGAAGCCAAAGAGCTAAAACAGGCACTCCATTCACTTCAGGTCAGAAATGAGCTACTCTACCATGAAAACAAGAAATTACGCGGTGAGATAGACGCCAAAAAACAGAAGAAAAAGCATAATCCAGTTCTAGATCTTCAGCAGCACCAAGAGTATCAAAGTTTGGCGGTGGTATGGAGTCCTCGGTCAGTACAAGAAGCCCGGGCTCGTGAACACGCAAAACACCAAGAAGCTAAGGCAGAAAAACTCCAAAAACAAGAGCAAAAAGAAATTAAAGCTGCTGCTACTGCCTTCAAAAAAAGCTTGCAGCAGAAGCAAAAGAAGCCCGACAGTTGGCACGGGAGGCACGAGCAAAGGAGCGGGAGGCGAAGGCTGCGCAACTCGCGGTTGTCCGGGCTCAAAAACAACAAGAACGGCTTGCTGCAACACCAAAAAACCTCACGATAGAGGGAATACAGGCAAAAGAAAAGCTTCATCAAGTCAAATATCAAAAACAAGTAAGCGTCGTGGTGTTGCGGATGATCAGAGTGGTGGTGCGTCTGCACCGCAGCCATCCGAGCCCCCCACCAAAACCACCACGCGCGGCCGCAAAATCAGACTTCCGAGTAAATATAAGTAGATAGCTATTGAATATATCATGAAACCACTACTCCACTAAAACATCTCGCGATAATAGTTTTTGTATGGGGCTCAAAAGCTTCATTTTGTGGTGGGCACGCATTTTGGTGGGGGTGGGCTTTGGCTGACCATGGGTACGCACTGACCATGCCCGGTACTTAGTGCAGGCCATTGGCATAAGCTCGGACACCTAGTAATGGCCACACCCAGTAGTGGCCACCCCAACCAC